GAGCCAGAGGTAGGTGATTGCGCGATCGGGGGCGCCGCTTGCCCAGCTGGGCTGCGAGTCTGCGAAGAGAAGCTTGCCGGCTGCTGCGTAGGCGGAGCGGCCTGCATCCAATCTGCCTGCCATTGTCGGTTCGAAGGTTAGTTTGCCGTCGACGAGGGATTGGGTGCCGGCGATCCAGAGCATGTCTCTTTCGTCGGAGACTTGGGGTACAATGGGTGCGTAGCTCCATTCTGCGCCTACGGTTAAGAAGGTTTCGCCGGTTGAGGGATTCGCGCCGTGCTCGTCGAGGGAGAAGATGTTTGCGACTTCGAAGTTGAAGCCCCACCGGCCGGCCCAGTTGGATTCGGTCCAGGTGGTGTTTGCGGCCTCGTGCCAGTACTCGCCTAGGTACTCCCAGGTTTGGAATGAAGCAGAGTCTGAGTCGTCGTATTGGGCGTAGAGGAAGAGACTGGGACCTACACCGTGGACGCCGCCAGAGATGAGGGTGTACCATGTGTCTTTTTTCTTGCTGAGGAGAGAATCGAATTGTGGGCTTTGAAATACGAATGGGTCTCTGAATCCTGTTACGTTGATGGCGAAGGGAGGACTAGGAATAACGGGGCCGAATTTGGCTTTTGTAAAGTTTTTGCCGCCGTCCGTGGCGTAGGCGAGTGATTGTGTTTCGCTGCCCTTTGTGTACCGGATTGTCCATTGGATGGGGAGATAGCTGACGCTCGTGTAGAGGAGCGTAGGCGTGCCGTTGACACCCTTTTCAATCACACTCCCGTCGAAGACTGCAACGGGATCGTTTATCCCACCTGCACGGATGAACGGCGCGGAATTGGGATTCAAGTCCTTGTACGTAACCAGATCGTTCGTCGTCGCGCCCGATGCTCCCAGGTGCAGATATCCCACATGGAAAAGCCCAGTCGCAGGATCTGTATAATGCATGCACGGATCTCCAATCTGACCAAACGCCGGTAGAACATGTGCTTTGGGTCTCCAAGTTTCGAAGAGCGAGTTATTCGCTAGCGTAGAGAGATTCGGTGGAGCGGCATTGTAGTCGATAGTCGTAGGTTGACGGACCAGAATCCGACTTGTTGCTTCTGTCGCAAACGACAACACCACCACCAGATCGCGTGATGACGAGAACTTCATAGCTGCAATGGTAGTACTACGCTTTCACGCATCGAAAGCGAATTGCTCGTCCGACAGCGAATGCACGTCCCCGCCATCCTTTTATCTGCCATGATAGAAGAGGGGGAAACAAGCTTGCTTAACCCGAATCCAATGGGCAGCCTTGGCTTTATGACGACAGTTGCGGAATGTTTTTGCGGAGGGTTTTTTAACCCCACAATAGGTCCGGAAGATCGGAGGCGTTGCGATCGTTAGACTATTGGTTACGTAGTTTTGTTGGCTGACCCACCGAAACGAGTAACGTCCAGTCGTGTGTCGGACCGAGGGGTTGGTTTCGTTGGTTTGCGGGCGCGTTGCTTGTTGTGTTCACATTCGAGTGGAGCGGACGGTGTCAGTTGAATAGTTTTGCTTGGCGAGTTGGGGTACATGGATAAGATGGTGTTGCCAACGAATCAGTTCACCGGATTTTCTAACTTGTTATCGTGTTGTGACAATACAGTGTATAATGCTGTATTTCCTTGGCGCGCAAGGACAGTAGGGTGCAAGCTACTTGTCTTCTGCAGCTAGGTTCCAGAGAAAATATTCTTTTGCAAATCTTTCGTCAATATAGGCATGGCAGATACACATAATGAGAGGGATTGGCTCTGCTTTCGGTCTCTGCTCCAAAAATGTGATAAACGGTCAACAGAGTCTGCTGGCGGTGGGTTCAGTGGGGTCTATGACCTGATTCAGGATGCCCGGAGGAGGGTCAAATGCATCGTTTTCTAATAAGTTGGAAGCAAGATCAAACACGTGTACATGGACAGCTAGGCTATTCATCTGTTAAGCATAATACTTAAAACAGAGACATGGAGATTACTTAGCTGCATCACCCGACCTTGTCATACATTGACCTTCAACTTGGCACTCCAGAGAGCTACTCCCAAGCAGTTTGTAAAAAGTGTAGCAGACCATACAGAAGTCATATCAGCAGCAGCTCACCATATATCGGATGAGAGTGACAAAAGGTGATACACTACAAGAAGGTGAGGCTCCTGGGCGGTACAAAAATAGAGTCGCGCCGCGTGCAGAGACAACCATCGGCCTGGGTTGCATCCGAAAAGGATTTGATAAATTCCCAATACGGTACTGGATTGGCCCAAAGCAGTTCCAAGGTACTGTTGGCAGGCTATTGTAAGACGGCCAAGTAGGACGAGTCTGGCGAGAGCAATGTGATGATTGGCGGGGCTCGTGACAGACAGCTCGGTAGCATGCTCCGTTACGTCAGCCGTGCCACGCGTGCCTCTTGTAGCTAGCCCTCCCGCAATTCCAGAACATGAACGCGTGCGCCGTCGATGAACTGTACCGTAGTTCACCTCGGCCTCGGTTCGCCATGGGGCGTCTCTCACCTCTCTTATGAACCGTGACTTCTTGCCGTGTAACCTGCCCTACTTAATTGTCGTGGGTATCGCGACACCCACACCCCACCTCGTCGCGCCCACTCACTCCCCTGACACTCCCCTTCGCCCCTCTGCTGCCTGCGCCCACCTCAGCCTATACATACACATCCACACTCAAGCGCGCCCCGGACTGTGGCAACCAAGTGCGTCTGTGACCCACTTGGATACATAAACCTCACCGTCTTTTTCTCTCTTCAACAAGCCTTACCGGAATCCCTTTCAATCACTACCACCCATATGATCATGGCAACCTTTCGCGAAGAAGCCGCCATGTCGGACCACCCGAATGTCCATATGCGCAACCAACACGAGTACACCTACCGTTTACCCGCACCGCCTCGGATCGCTGTACCCCCGCCCACGCTTGTCTCCGACATGCCGGGCCTGGTACTAAGCGACAGCCCCGGTGAAGAGTTGGACATGACCTTTCTGAAAGAGCTGGACCTCGAGCATATAGTGCATAAGAATTCACTGCTTGAATGGGCATACGAACGGCGGAGACAGGCCCAGATGATCTTGCCCTGGCTGTATCTTGGACCCATGATGGCAGCCAAGGACAAGGCTTTCCTCGAGCGCGAAGGCATCACCATGGCCCTGGCCGTTCGTGCGCAGCCCAACAGTCTGGTGGGCGCAATGCAAGCGGCTAGCGAAGTGTGTCTCGAAGTGGGCAGTATCGAGGCCCCCACCTTTTACGCTCTCACCCCCAAATTCCCTGAGGCAACTAGGATGATCAACACACACGTGGCAAAAGTTCGACAGCACACGTTACAAACCAAGGGCGAAGCCACGCTCGGCAAAGTCCTCGTCTTCTGCGAGTCTGGCAACGAGAAGTCAGCAGCAGTCGTGGCCGCTTACCTAATGGAGACACTAAACGACTTCAACCATATCAGAGCCATGCAGATCTGTCAGGCACAACGTTTCTGCTCGAACTTTGACGATACACTCAAAAACATATTACGCTCGTATTGGGATATCGTTGGAGCACGACGTGCCATCGCCGCATCACAACACCAAACACCACATCGAAATGTCCAGAGCAACGGCCATCCACAGCCTGCCTCGCTGTCACCTACACCGTCATCGTCGAAGCCCAAGCGATCACTCGAGGAAATGCGAGACGAAGATTTTGACATGGATAGTGACATAGAAGCATCAGACGCACTTCGCTTCACCGATCGCGACGTGACCCCTTTCCAGGACCGCTAGCTAGCTAACATGTCCCCAGGCGTCTGGCCCGTCACGAGGTCTCTCTTTGTTTAGGTGCCATTTTTTAGCATTATACCCAGCATGATACAGGGCGTTTGGCGGTTGGTGTTGGACCTTGACAGGCTTATCATGGTTATGAAAATCAATCAACGCACGTCACATGAGCAGGCATGCGATAGACTTCTGTCTTAACAATAGCGTGTAGAGCACCGCAGAGTAGGAATTGGTTATCGCTTCTACTTCATGAAAACATTCAAACATGATTTCTTGTTTCTTGTTTCTTAAAGTTCTCTTGTGAATTGGTGATTCTAGGCTTCTTTTCTGGCTTGCTCACTCGTAGCACCACAGTCATGTGCAGCTAGCAATTGGCGATCTGGTATCTTATCACAAAGCCGTCATAAGTAAAGGAAAGGATGTATCTACTGCGCCTTGTACTATGTTACTTGTATATCTGAGGTCCTACCAATGATATTCTTTGCATATGTCTAGAACTACTATTTATATATTTGTTCTGCATATCAGCAGTTGTTGAAACTGCTTAATTTGTGATATTATCTGAGTGCTTATTCTCTTGAGGGAGCCACCTTCTTGTACAAAAGTTACAGCCAAGTAGGGAAGCAGACGAAGATTTGTGTCGACCACCATGGCATTTTCGTCTGGATTACGCAACTCGCTCACTCATGGTCTTCATAGCTCACCGCGATCTAGAAGCTAGCAATTATTCCCGACTTTTCATCTCGATCCAGATTCTCTATACTCTCAACTGCGGCCTGAGTGCACAGTGGTACCATAGGGTCTCTTGCGGCAACACCCTAAAGCAGTCCCTTACTCCCTGAGTCTACACATTTGCCGCATTTTGGAACGCTTTGGCAACTAACCATAGTCTACTTGTTGAGGTTACTATCAATAACATCATCGTTGCAGATCTGAGAGTGAATTGAATTATCTGGAACGTGATAGGCACAACGGTGACAGTGAGGTCGAGGTCCCACCAAACCCAAAGTCTGCAGACCATAAGTCACCCAGCCATATCCAATACCTCTCTTCAGGGACTCCGTCAACTAACTACCATCCTGTTACTCTGATATATAGTCGCTTTTCCGTCCATGGTCAGCATTTCGTACTCCTTGGACTGACGTAGCTCCTCATCATATCCATCAGTCCCAGCTCTCACCACTATCACAAACACCAGCGTCTTACTCAAACAGCCATCTCATACATCCACAACAGAGCTCCAGCATGGCTAGAGAACTAGCCTCTAAACACACGGCAGTCGCGAACTGGCTGAATCCCGAACCCCCTAGGTATCCAAATGATCCCCCCAACATCCTCTCCCTCGACCAAGCATTGCAACTAGTCGAAAGCGTAAGGGACGCTGAATCCAAACGCCGACGCAAAACGAAAGCTACTCTCCGCCAAACTCAACAACCCTGTCACCTATGCGGCCAGAAAGGTCACACAGCAAAGGATATCGCCGAAGACGGCTCTTTCAAGGTACATCATCTCCTATCCTTCATGTCCCCTCCCCCCTTATGACGCGCACCCAAATCTCGAAAAAGACAAACGGTCTAAGAAACCAACTCCCCAAAACTCACACTGCGCCATTAGTGTCCCACCCGCATCACCGACACCCAAACCATGTCAACCGAACTCTCGCGTCTACGCGCTGAATTCACCGCCGAACTAGCCACTATACGCCAAAAAGACGAGGTACAAAAACTCTCCCAACAACAAAATCAAAATCAAAATCGACAAGTTCAACAAAACATACACCACCATCCCCGCAATCACCAACAACAACAAACCCTACACCACCGTCTCCACCACGACTCCTACCTAACCGCCCTCCAAAAACGCAACCGCGCCCTACCCATCTGGTCCGTAAACTACTTCGCCCTTCACCGCGCGCTGCAGCGTAAATCGGGGCTAGCGCGGTTTGTAGATTGCAGTGGTAAGTCACAGTTTGTGCGGTTGTATGTAGAGGGCGTTGCGAGGTATGAAAAGGAGGTGAGGGAGAAGAAGGAGAGAGAGAGGAGAGAGGAGGAGGGGGAAGTGTTGTGGCCGAATGTGCAGGTTGTTGTGAGGTGAAAGGGGGGGATGGGAGGTAGTGGTGATGGGGTTGTGTGTTGGATGGTGAGGAGTATGTGGAGAAGATAATGTGAGGGTGTTTGGGATAGTGCGTGGAGATGCTTTGAGGGTTTGATTGTGTTATACGTAATGCACTTCGGTTGGGGTTATGTCGAGTGGTCGTACGGTAATGCAGAGAAAGCGTACTCAGTCAACAACCTCACTTGCGAACCCAAGTCCATATAGCATCATGTATGCACATATATTCATTCTCGATCCAAAAGTACCCTGGGTATAAAACTTCCATATTCATCCATCCCACCCATTATCCACTCAACTCCATCGTGGTTTTTTCTTTTCCCTCAGCTAAATTGATCTCCATGTTCACTATCCCCTCCAATCCTTCTCCCCGCAATCCTGCCCTGACTCAACTTCCACCGCCACCGCCTCTCCCTCTCCTCCTTCTCCCGCTCTTCCCTCTGTCTCTTCTTGCGCTCGTACACAGCCCTTACAGTGCGCTTGGTGCGCTCAGCACCCTCGTTGTAGTTTGCCCGCGCGAGATCCACAACGCTGTCGATTTGCTCGGGGGTGTACACAAAGTTCCATGTTGACATGAAGTCGCTGACCTTGGGATCTGCACCGGGCGCTTTCGGGTTGGCGAGGAAGGGAAAGTAGATGACAGTGATGCCAGAATTCGGGTGCATGAGCTCCCAGTCTTCTTCAACCTGCTTGCTTTCTGGCGATGCAGAGTCAGAAGTACGCTCTTCAGTGGTTCCAACCCAGATGTTGCAGTAACCCAAGTCCTCAATCTTCTTCTTGGTGGGTCCATCCTTTTCTTTGGCCTGCTCGAGTTTTTCTTGGGCTTCTTGTTCGGTTTTCGCTTCGGCGCGGTCGAGGTCTTGTTGAATTTCTTCCATGGATTCGCCAGCGGGCGGCCAGCCTGCACCGACTGGCCATCCCTTGATCCCGCGCTGCCGAGCATACCCGTCGGCAACTTTGAGCCAGTTGTCGGTTCTCACATCGGCAGAAGCGTCAAAGGCGACAAGTATATCCACGTTGCGTCCTGGGCGAAGCAGGGGGTAGATAGGCAGGTTATTGGACATTCCGGCATCCATGAATTGGAAATTCTTTTGTTGAAATATGCTTTCAGGACAGGTCGAAGGAAGAAACTCGCGCATGCCGAGAGCATAATTGGGCATCGCAGCAGGATCAATGGGGTGGACTTTGACAAGGTCATCATCCCGCTCCGCAATCATGGCATCTATGCTACTGCCTAGACCTGTCAAGCTGCGCATGAGAGGACGAATTTCGCGGTAATAGTGTGATAGTGTTGCGCAGAAAGCGGATCCCCAAATGCCCATAAGCAGTGGGACGCGCACTTCGGGCAATGCTAGGCCGTTGTCTCGCCAGACGGTTCGGCCATTCTGGAAACGGCGGCCCATTGCCCATGTTGGTATACCGGCCGATAGCTCCTCGCACCACATCTCATATGGGGTAAACTCAAACCACTGAAACCATGCCTCCTTCCTCGCCTGCGCTTCTGCCTCGATAGCACTCTTGTCGTCTGACTGTTCGGCAAGGGGAATCTCGTGTCGCACGGCAGTGTAGATTGGGAGTGGTTGTGAGCCATTGTCGGTGAATCGTCGCTGATTTGATATCTTGAAGTCGTACTCGCTGACAGACAGCTCACCTTTGGGTACGAGCAAGCGCGCAGCAAGCAGGGCGCCGTATATGTCTACAAGACCAAAGTCGGCATCTGGGATGCCCTTTGCCTTTTCTACAAGGCCGCTTAGCAGATACTTGCTCGTTGGGGCACTGACGAGCAGTTCAAGCGCATCAGGAGGAAAGGCAATGTGTACGCCAAGCCTGTTCTTGAGATGACGAATCATACGAGCATGGCTACGTTGGCTGAGCTCTGAGTAGTAGAGTGTCTGCAACCAGCAGCTGCCGCTGACTCCCGCCGTGTAAGTCACACAATCAAAAAGACCTGCTTCCTTGGTGGACAAGTACGAAGATGTGCCAGCAACAAGAGCGCGCAGTCCTCCTCCAGAACCACACATTGCAATGACGGGGACATCATCGGGATGAATTGTGGCTTCCGGGATATCAAGGTAGCGCGCAAGCGCAGCCTTGGTGAAGTGTGCACGCTTCTCTAAGAAAGACTTTTCTTCCTGGCACAGCTCGTTGGAAACCCTGACAGAAGCATCCCAGACAATCTCTGGGTTGATTTCGGGATCATTGGCCTCGCGCCATATCTCTTCGGCCAAGGAGCCCGGGGCCATGGAGAGCTCATTCTGCAGCTTGCGGATGAAGCCGGGCATGACCTTGACCCAATTGGGTACAATGTAGTCAATGATGGTATCGCCAATCTTGGAGGGAGACGGCGACTTTGGGAATTTGTCCGTGATGGTCTGCCAAGCGGACTGGCTCTCTCCGGTTCGATTGTCGCCCTCATCCTCGCTACCATAACCCTTCACAACGCGAGTCTGGGGTGGTGCGTCCTGCTCTCCTGACTTGCCCTCGCCTTCTTTGTTTATCTGCCTTTCGGCATCCCCGGCGGACGTCGTTTCGGTCTTGGCATCATTACCACCACCAAATATGTATCGCTTGAGAGACGGTGCATCGAGTTGAATGGGACGTAACAGCGGGTATGGAGAGTATGGAGATATCAGGTAGCTGGTGGCAGCCGTGGCAAGCAGACAAGGAGGGCCATAGCGAAGACCGAGAGTGGCTGCCCTGGACCTGGGAGACAGGGGATGGTGTTTTGTGTGCAGGCTGGATAATTAGCATGCGATGGTGGGGGGATGGATTTCCGGGTGGACGCACCCACGACGCGTCCCACACAGCCAAAGTTGGCCCAAATTGCGTGTGTTCCTATAGCCGGCCATGCGCGAAGATGATGGCAAGAGGGAGTGTGGTGTGAAGGCTTGCAAGAAGCATGGGCAATGTGTGCATGGGAACCACCCACGGCCGGGGTGATGGGAAAGACCTCAACATGACATGACATGCCAGAATCCCACCACCCAAACTGGTTGTGGATCCCGCCGATCGAACCACGGCCCGCATGTCGTATGCCAAGCCCTGCAGGAACATCCACCACCTGGCCAGAACACCCCACTTGTCTTTGCCCATTGCACGTGATACTAGCACCGGATTATTTGCAAGTTTGTTGTGGCAGCTCAATAAGCCATTGCTCTGGAAATCAACCCTAGGATCTTTGGAATGACCGGTTGTATAATCGTACACAACGGCCTTGTTCGGATGGAGGACAACAAGATGTGGTCAGTAACATCAACAATTGACGCACACGATGTGGAAGTGTCCGCTCATACACTAGTCTGCATTGGCAAAGATGCCCCGTGGGAACGGCTACCAGTAAGCGGCAGGTGTTACGGACACGGAATCAACTCCGGTTTCCTTGTTGCCAATGGGAACTATGTCGACTAAAGCTGGATTCTATGCAATGGCATCTTGATCATATCCATGACATATTGTTGACATGTCTGTGCGCGTTTCACTGATATCCTTTTACACATGTACACTTTACAGTCGGGATTGGTATCTGCTGGTCGTAATCGGGTTCCAATTTTCCACTTTGATTTTTCCTCACAGCATGGGCCTTGTAGCAGGTTTTTTTCCTGTGTTGGCATTTCGTACGGATATTCGAGTCTGTTGCGCGCTCATTGGGAAGACAAAATACAATTCCGATTGCGGTATAGTAATTCATAAGCGTTGAATCGACCTGCTAGCCAGGGGAAATCTGAAGTCCACATCAATATCATGAACCCCTCTCGATATCCTTCGATTCGTTTCTTTTCTTCCTCATCACCATCTTCGCCCTGTCGAGCCATTTCGTTCCATCAACTTTGCCACGTCCATCCCAAAACTTTGCTGGCTTCTTCCAAACATCATCGGCTCCTTTTAGTCCTCCGCTCAATACTAAGATAATCAGATATGCTGGCCCGCAAACACATATCATGACAATTGCGAATGTCGTAAGATTTGTCGATAATGGTAGAATGGACTGCATGCCAAATATGGATGTTGCAAAGCTAGCAGGCAAGAAAACCATAGAGATAAGCGTGAGAACATGGATGTTTTTTCCTTGTGCGACAGTGGTACGCGTTTCAAGGACTGAAGAGGCATTGGAAAGCTGTAATATGACGTTAGCGCTTCAGTTCACCAGTGAACGAAGGCGCTAGGAAAGCACCTACACCGTCGTGCAATGCCCGAATCTCCTCCTGCTTGGCGTTGTTGTCTTCTATCATGCCGGCGAGCTGATTCGTTTGTTTTTGAATTTCATCCAGGCAAGATACCGACGCAGTTCTAGTCACAGCCGCTTCGCCGTCTGAACTTGGAGATGTGTGGCTTATTCCATTATCGCCTGTATTGAGAAGATCCAGAAAAGATGCCTTGTCGTACATGTCCCAACTTCTGATAATCGAAGCAATGCACTCGTTGACAAGACGTAAGGATTGAAGAGCCCAGAAGTAGGTCCGTGAGGTTGTAAAATCTTCAGTTTCGAATAGGAGAGATTTTCGCACCCCGCTATTGAAGAGAAAGTCGTCCTGCCGGATACGGTCAGATATGAATGCTATAAATTTGTGGGGTGTTTACTCTGAGGGCAAAAACTTACTGAGGGTACCGAAACCGAGGATATCTGACCTGCCACTTCTCTAAGACACCTCCTCACCTTCCTCAACTCACTATTGATACCCCAGTAAAATGCTTCCACTCCGTTTTTAATTTTCCCACCTGACGTATGATCCCGATTGCAAGAGAGGATTAAAAGTCTTCATGGTAGTGCAGCAGACGCATTCGCCCCCTCTGTATCAGAAAAGCTCAATGCCACGGAGGAGCTTCCGTGGCAGATTCAGAGGTGCGGCAGATTTTTGTGGAAGGGACCCGACTGCTGACCCGGATAAACATTCTGGTCTCCAGATGTAATATAGTAGTACTTGAGGGAGAAGAACCAGATATTTCGCAGCCCTTTCCAACCTAAATCAAGGCAATAGCCAGAAGATTTCCCCCGATTAATAAAGTTCGAGAATAGTCGTTCTATATCAAAGTGAGAGGCCAGGCATGAAAGTAGTTGAAGTGTGGTAACGGGCGGAAGAGATCGTATTTGCATGACCCGCCCAAAGGCTTCAATGCCTTCTGGGTTTTTTCCGGAACCTATCGGTATTCTGTACAATTAAAGTTCATTAGTTATCTAGGCATCGCGGGTTTTAGATGACCATCATCAGTACTACCAAGGTTTTGTACCTTCAGCAATGCCCACAATCCTTGTGTAGATGTAGTGGAGGATTGAAAAAAGGTGTCACCTAGAGCATCTACGTCTGCTCTAGCGTAACGGCCCAGCATTTTCTCCTTTAGCTTTTATTCAATTGTGCAAGCAACTGGTTCTAGGTTTGTTTCAAGCAATGAGGAAAGAAGCTGTTTGATTGCTGAGCCTTGGAATCTTTTCCGATCCAAAATATCTCGAAGACAGGCCACAAGACTACCTGGATCAGATTCCTCGGTGGGAAACACTGGAATTGGCACTTGAGAATTTTGTATTCCATTGGAAGTATTGTAGCTGCTAGCTGTGGGAGCCACGTCGACCATTGTGGTGGAAGTATCCGGGTCGCTACACTCTTCAGTTGGCTGAGAAATTTCGAGAAATTTCAAGACATTAGAGAGCAGTAGTTAGGAATGAAAAATTGGAAAAGTTGAATGAACGGTCTCTGAGATAGACATTCTCGAAGCCAAATGTGGCCTGACAGTAGAATGAAAACTAGCGAAAGAAAAGAAACTTGGGTACTGCGCTCATTAAGCTCAGCCTGCATGCCACTTTGATGGTGCGCTGGGCTGCCAAATGCACTAAAGCACTGCCCCATTCATCTAAGCCAGCGTACCAACTTTGACAACATGGCGAAGCGCCTGCTGAAAAGCACTGCCACATTCAGCTGAACCTGCGTGTTCACTTTACTTGCATGGCGAAACGCCAGTCGCTAGAAAACACGGTACGAATAAGCTTATTTACACTCCTCGACTTCACTCCGTTTTGAAAAATTGAGGAGAAACTGTTCGCACAGTGACCAAGTCATCCCAATCTTCTAGCTATCTTTTTTCAAATTACAACTATCATCCCGAAATAGGCACTCACTTGTCAAATCCTAGCTGAGGGCCGATTTATCCAACAAAAATCGGGCTCGAAATATTCACGGCAAAATGTGCGAAACAGAGGATGTCCTTTACTACTGTGACTCTGGGCGATACAAACTCGGCATTGGAGCCAAACCTTGCTATAAAGCCATCGTTGTCAAAACAACAGTGTTGATTTCCGGCTCCGTATATAAGGAGTTTGAACCTTGCCCCGATTTAGTCTGCGAGATTGAGGTACAGCAAAAAGCGAATATGGGTGCCTTCAGCGCCATTGTTGATGGAAAACTCATCTCTATCACAATATGCAGTAAATCGCACGCAGACGGTGGGGTTTCCTACTCTAGAACTAGCGTAAGACACTAACGTTTAACAGATATTTTTCAGAGCATACTAAGCGATTGCTAAAGAGGTGGTCATCGTCGGCAATAAAAGAGGTAGACCGGATAGTAGGAGACCTGAGACACAGCGGGAAAATAGATAAAAAAGCAAAAGAAGCGTCGGTACTACAACCTCTGAATCGACTATTTAGGGTATTCTCGACAAGGCACAAAGTTTCTATAAGCATATTACATATGTTTCAGCTACTGCCAGGAAGCGCGAGCTCCGTACTACTACACCACTGCAGCCCGCAAAAAGGAATGCATGACCAATCACAGTTAATTCATGTGAAAAATAGCATTTGTACCTTTAGAACCACTATGTTCTGCCTTTTGTCTTAGGAAGACCGAAGAGATTAAATGCTGTATATATATGCTCCTGAACTGTACTGAGCCGATCTGACCTAAAAAGGTACCAAATATATTAGTCAAAGTGAATTATCTCGACCCCTTAGGAGTTACACAAGGTTCGGATGGGACTATGTACTCGATGCATGTGAGTGTTATTCCTCTGGCATTGAGGAATATTTAAGCAGGACCACCCACTCCAGTCAACACACTAGTAGTATTTCAAGAGCATCCACTATTTGTAAAGTATTCGAAGGGCATCCAACGTGTTACTTGTATCTGGCCATGTGAATGCACAATAGTGTACATCTAACCACTTGAGTGTGTAGCTCTTCTGAAACCATGCATTGCGTGCCTAAGTCTAAAGCAGGTACGTGTTGCCGAGACAGGTAGTATGAGACGCAGACAGCGGCTCTGGCGGTGTCAGGAAACGGTGACCCGCATTCCCGCTGCTGCTTGGACCCTCTGCACACGCAATGCGTCTTTTTGGTTGCGTACATACTTTTTGCCGCAATGTGCCGAGACGAATGGGCATACGAGTGTTTCACAGAGCTGCATGATCTTCCCGACATGGCGCGGCATGCTTGTTCAGTCTGGGGGCGGACCACCGAGGCCGGACCCTGGTTGGGGATAGCAACGTCTCCACGACAGCTCTCCACAAGGACCCCCTCACACATCATCATACGCCACCCTTACACACTCGAGCTATTTACCGTCCTGTCATTTATCACTTTTAATGTACTAATCCATGTTCGCTTCATTCTTGCCCACCATTCTCTTATAATAGGGGTCATCCTCACCGCCGCCCACGCGTCTACATAGCCCCCGAGGCAGTCGCGAATCTTCCCAGCAGTCGCCATGGTCGCCCCACGCAGAACCGCGCTCCTTGAAGAGAGCGCCGAAGTCGAAGTGCTCTTCGCCAACATGGAGAAGATGAAGGCAATCACCAAGAAGATCCAAGGGTCCGTCAACCGACTGGATGCAAGCGGAAAGGCAGTCCAAGAAGCCATTGGGCCAATCTACGGCAACACCCAAAAGCTGCAGATTGCAAATACAAATGTCGATCGCATCATCGATGCGATAGAGCGGCTCCGCGCGCCGAGGGAAGAAAGCGCCAAGGAGGAGAGGATCATTCGCGCTGGTCCCGGAAGAGGAGACCTTGACGGCTACATTGCTTCCCTGGACCGCACCAACCTCAATCTGCTGGATCTCAAGCGCACCAATCTTCGTTCGAACGAGCAAGCCATTACAGAACTCAGCGGACTGCTGAAACTAGGCAACAAGCAATTAGAGGAAGTATTCCGGGGTATACTACAAGATAGCTGTAGAGAAAAGTTTCAAGCATTGGAATATGTCGCTAAGCGTAAGTCGATTACATGCTGTTGGCGGAGAGACTCTGACTGTGCATAGAAAATCCATTCCCGCGCATGGCGCAAGACAAGCTACAGAGCCTGCGTAGCATCCACAACCACATTTCGAAGACGTTTGCGCAAACATCACAAGTCGACCTATCTCAGACACCTACACGAAGAATATACGCCGACGTTCGGGGCGAATATCTCGAGAGCACATTGAGAAGTTTGATGCAAGCATCGATAAGCACGGCTCGAAAAGTACAGGCTGATGCTCTCTACAAGAAGGGCACAAATGGCATTGGAACCTACGTACAGGCCATAGAAGGGCTTTTTGTAGCTGAGTTTGACAACCTCAATTACATCTTCGACAGGGAGGAATGGAGCGACGTCTACGTGTCGACGTGCCAGGTCTCTCTGCAAGACTTTAGTAAAACGCTGCGCGAGCTCAATGGGCACATCCAGAAGAACATTTTGACAGACTGCTTCCTAGGATTTGAGATTTGTGGTCTGGTCCGGACACTTTCCATGAGGCTCCAGAAGCAAACCGGTGCTCTCAAGGACCAAATCTACGACAGCGTCAAGCCGATCCGCGAGACATCGAAAACGTCGTTGAGCAAGATGCTCGATGACACGAGGTCGAACACGCAGGGTCTGATTGCACTACCGATTGATGGTGGCCCAGTAGAGATTACCACACAGACGATGCGACGATTACAGGAGATGACCAACTACCTAGAGCCTCTTTCATCCATCTTGGCATCGTTAGGCGAGGGCGGGTGGAACGCTGCTTCGGCCAACAACTCATCAACAACACTGGACGTTGGACCTGATGGCATCAAGTTGTTTGGCTCTTATGCAGGCGATACGGTGGACACGCTGCTACAAAACTTGAGCGGCAAGGCAAAGATGCTGCTCAAGGGCAAGAATCTGCAAGGCGTCTTCATGGCGAACAACATTGCAATCATTATGCGAATTATTCGGGCTTCCGAACTAGCGCCCCTGATGGAGAACTACTCCAAGAAGCTCGCTGATTGGCGGAAGCAGGGCACGGCCATGTACTTGGAGGCATGGCGAGAACCGTCTGGCTACCTGCTTGATGTGCAGTACACGAATCGTACCAAGGAGCGGCCTACTTCGAGTGGTGCTGACTCGGCGACCATTGTCAAATCTCTGAGCTCCAAGGACAAGGATGCAATCAAGGAGAAGTTCAAGAACTTCAACACGAGCTTCGAGGATCTTGTGACACGGCACAAGTCGTACGCAATGGAGCCGGAGGTGCGCAACCAGCTCTCCAAAGAGGTACAGAACATCATCGAGCCCCTGTACAACCGGTTCTACGACCGGTATCGGGAGATTGACAAGGGCAAGGGCAAGTATGTCAAGTACGACAAGAGCGAGTTGAACAAGGCTCTGGCGAGCTTTGCATAGCACAGTGATTGTGGCGTTGGACGGGATTCTGTTTGCTTTGGTGACGCGTAAAATACCCTTTGATTTGTACATAGGCAGTGGTAGAAGAGTTTTGGGGGAGGGGGGATGGACGCGTTATAATCTGACATGGTCAGGCCACGCCAG